CCAACCTTCCTTCCGCGGAGTGGCTGGTGGATTTGAACCGCCAGCCTTCTGGTTAGCAGTCAAGTGCCTTAGGCACTACGCCACCAGAGCTCTGGAAGCAAAGCCCAAACCAAACCCCTGGAAGCAAAGCCCAAACCACACCCACTGGAAGCAAAGCCCAAACCAAACCCACTGCCATTGACTTGACTTGACTCATAGCGACCCCTCCTTGGGTTTCTGATGCAGTATCACTACGGAAGTAGATTGGCCCATCTTCCTTCCGAGGAGTGGCTGGTGGCTTTGAACCGCCAGCCTTCTGCTTAGCAGTCAAGTGCTTTAGGCACTATGCCACCAGAGCTGCAGCACTAGGGCCCCATAAACACTGGTACAAAATCAACCTTCTCCCTCAATCCAGCACCTTCTTCTCAGTATTGCAGATGCTCCGTGTTGTATTTGAAACTTTACTGAGGGAAATTGAAGCCAAGTTAGCAAGTCCTGCCTTGATAAATTCCCTCAATCCTTACTTCATAACCAACTTCAAAAACAATTGTTTACATTTAGAGAATACTTTGCATAAATATAGTGTCATTACTGATGTTAAAAAGAGATTTGCCAAAGAATGCAGGGAAATAAGAACACTGAGTTGTAGATCCTCTCCCCCTACCATCTCTCTCTCTCTCTCTCTCCCCCCTATACACACACACAAGTTCCCAGTGGGGACCATCCTCTATTACTTCCCCTGTGCCTCCTCTAATCCCTTAGTGCATTTGGCAGAGGTGTGTACCTGCAGGGAGCATTTACTTAGCAGATAGCATTCTATATAGCGCTTCCACTAGATGAAGGAAGATGCCTCCCTGGAAGATTAAAGGGTAGTCTTAGGGATGGAAGGCGTAAGGGATGGACTCTGTACCGGGTAAGGGCTCATGTGGAGCCCAGGCCCACTTGAAAGCAGTCCTGTTCCTGAGTATGGTTTGGACTCAGCAGCAAAGCAAGGAGCTGGGGGTCTGAGAGGCACTCAGGCCATGAGGTGGGCCCCGGCCCAGCCCTCACCCCAAGCCCTCTTTTTGAGAAAGCAGAGCAAAACTGTCCAAAGGGCAGAAAGGCGATGCCGTACCCCGTTGTGCTGAGAAGTGGCTGTGTTGATTTGTTCTGGGGCACAGGGAGCAAGCGATTTGGTGAGGAGGTGTGTAGATCATCGATGAAGGCACATCAGCAAATTGCTTTGCCTGGTCAGACACTTTGCCTGGTCAGCTCTACAAATGTAAAATCAAACATTAGACATGGTCGGTCCTTTATGCGCAGTCATACCTCCTGGTAGAGCTTTTTAAAAGAGTTTCCAAGAGTGATGATGGAGAGGGGCATCCTCTCATTCCCTTATTCACACACCTCACAAACAGCAAGTGAGGCCCGAGTCTAGTCACTTTGGGGGAACTAGGAGGCCACAGTCCTAGTTGGTTCTCTGACTAGCTAGGAGGCAAAGGCAAGCTTCTCCCCTTCTCTGGGCCTCAGTTTCCTCTGATCAAATGAGGGGTGGAACTCACCACCCTTTCTTAGTGAGAGGACTGTACAGAAAACAAGAACTCATCTTAATAAAAATGGCCAAACACAATGGGGCAGTTAAGGACTCCAGGCTCGGCTTCTGTGTCTACAGGCAGAAGGTGGGCAACCGTGCCTAGAAGTTTCCGCAGCGAGGGAGGGAAGCCAGGCTTTCCTGGGCAGGCAGGCGGTGGGAGGGACCCTCCCAAGCTTCGTGTTCCCCTTTGTTCCGTGGAGGTGGTGCTGCCCACCTGCCTAGCTTGTAGATCACGGGTCCTTAACGTGCACGAGCTGGCCGGGCTGCTCTCTACGTCTGCTTTGAGAATGAGTGAGGCAACCGAGGATGTCATTTCTCTTTCAGCCTACTGGTCACCACAGCCCCGCCCCCAGCCACAGTGCAAGCCAATGGCGGGTCTGCAAGCTCCAGTGACTCCGAAAGCAGCTCCGAGTCGGACTCAGACACCGAGAGCAGCACCACTGACAGCGAATCCAACGAGGCCCCCCGAGCGGCCACGCCAGAGGTGGGTGGGGCTTCAGCCGTGATCCACCTTCCCTGAGTCAGCACCCCTGTCAGTCTCCTACTGCTGCGCGACAAAGGCCACAAGTGGGTGCCTTTAAAGAACAGACATTTACTTTCTCACATTTCAGGAGCTGCAAGTCTCAGTTCGGCTCTGGGGGCCCACTGTCTGTCAGCTCTAGGGAAAGATCCTTGTCTCCTTTAGATTCTATGGGTTCCTTGGTGATCTTCACATGGCATCTATCTTCACTTGCTCGTGTTTGCTTGTGTCTGTGTCTGTCTGCTCTTTTCTTAACTCCTAAGTGATTAGGTTTCGGACACACACTGGTATGGCCTCGTTCACATAACGTTAGATTGCATTATGGAAGGTAATTACATCACATTCACAGCTATAGCAGTTAGGATTCCAACACATACTCTGGGGCGAGCAAAACACAATCCGTAACAACTCCTAACACATACATATATACACACACAAGCATACTTTCAGCACGGTATTTGCTTCTTTAGACTCAGAAAAATCTTCAGGTATTTGATAGCATTTTTTTCATACATACATTTCTTGCTGTGTGACTTTGAGCAACTCACTTAGCTCCTCTGCACCTCAAGCATCCTCACATGTCAAGCTGGAATAGTCATAGCTGTGCAAACAACATCTCTTTTGAAATAACCAGTGCAGCCAGCCCACATCCACTTCTAGTCCCAGAGCCACCACTTGTTACTCTAGGTTAAAGCACTCAATTACCACTTGGCACATAAGACCCAAGAGGTGTGGCTTTCCTTAAAGGTAAAATGTGACGACTGAGAGGTCGCACATTTATTTTCAGTTTGAATCCTTCAAGTGGGCTTCATAATAATCTATAAGAGCATTGAACCCATAAAATACCAACATGGTAACTGTGAAAGAAAATCATTTTCCTTTCCCCTTCCACCCCCTCTGATGCACCTGCAATAGCAAGCAACTTCCTCATGGCCCTTCACACACTGATTTTTTGATAATCAGAAAAGAACAATAGACGATGTGGTGACCACGTTACTACTATTACTAATGACCAAACTGGTTGCCATGAGGCAGGCTCTGACTCGTCAGAGGAGAGCTACACCCACTGGGTTTGCAGGGGCTCATGTTTGGGAGTCAATTGCCAGGCCTTTCTTCCAAAGCACCTCTAGGTGGGAATGGCCAACCTTTGGGTTAGCAGCTGAGCACGCTATCTGTTTCCACTACCCAGAGACCCCACTATTACTCATGACTAACCCTTACTGAGAATAACCTAGTCATTGGGTGACGCTCTTTACTCGCGTTTTCTCAGACCTGGTCATTCTGGGACTGTTCTCATTCCAAGACGGAGAGACGCAAGTGACAGAGCTGGGTAGCTGGGTAGCAGCTCAAGGCACTGGAAGGTAAAAGGAAAAGGCAGGAGACAATGGGAAATTGCCACAACCGTCAGATGCCGCTGCTATGACCTTTCACTGGCCACATCACGTGGAAGAGCGATGACCAGGCATTAAGTAAATAGCTAGTAATTTGAATTGGTTCTCATAACATGACCTTTTCCCGCATGGTCTTTACAGTCTTTCTAGTAGTTGGGAAAGCAACGTTTGCCTACTAGTATTTCTCATTTGGGAAGGGCCTGAGTTAGGCCCCTTCTGACCTGACGTGTCCTCGTAACAACCCTCTGAGGCACTTGCAATTATCATCCCATTTTACAGAGAAGAGTATTAACACTCGGGTGAAAAAGACCTCCCCACACAATCTTACAGGTAGAGAGCCAGGACTGAAGTGCAGGTCAGTGCCTTACCAGAGCTGGCATCCCAAACCCCGGGGCTATGCTGCCCACAGTGGCAGCTGCCACAATTTCATTGCCTCTGACCTGCCATTGTCCAGTGCAGGCGGGAATCACAGCTACTCGAGTGTTCTTAATTCTGTCACCCTTGATTGGCTGGTGCCAGAAGCCTCAGCTGATGGCTTTTAAAAGATTAGTTGTAATAAAAATTACAACTCTTTTAGTTCAACCAGCAGAATTTTGAGTTGGAATCAAGGACCTGAATTGTACGCATCATTTCCACAGCTTCACAGTGGACGCTAATGTCTGCGTGCACGTCCCCATAAATTGGCTATTGCCCATACACTGAGGAAAGTGCTGGGGTTTCGGGGGAGTTGAATCTTTTCATCCTTCGGTGCGAATACAAAGGGCCTGCTCTGTTTGCGGTGAATTCCAGCATCAGGCAGGAGGCCCCCGCACTGTGGCAGATGGAAAGCCTTTCCTTTTGAGTTACGTTTGAGACACACTTACATTTCTTTTCAGTATTGGAGACCATTACTTCTGCCTCCTGGTGAGAGGTTGAGTAATGAGTCCCCTCAAAGGATTTGGGGAACGTGTTTCCCTGCCAGGTCCCCTTGCCCATTCCCTGGGATAATTCTCTCCTGCCTGGCCAGAGCTGAGAATATATTCAGAGGAGGAGTAGAAATTAGTTTGAATAGTAGACTGGAGTCAGATGATGGAGTTTCTGGCAATCTAAGTAACTTGATTAATGTGGAGTGTGTACGTGTATGTATGTGAATGGTCACTTAACATCCAAAGCTTTTATTAGCAAACAGTCAGGGCCCTGAGATTTTGCCATTCTTCCCAAATGTAAAATTAATTCTTGCTGCTGTTTCTCAATCTGCAGCCTGAGCCACCCTCCACCAACAAGTGGCAGTTGGATAAATGGCTTAACAAAGTGACATCCCAGAACAAGTCATTTATTTGTGGCCAGAATGAAACACCCATGGAGACAGTTACTTTGCCTCCTCCAATCATCCAGCCAATGGAAGTCCAGATCAAGGTGAAGACCAACCCCAGCCAGATCCTGCCTGAGCCCAAAGAAAGGCCCCTCCTCAGTCTCATTCGAGAAAAAGCTCGTCCACGGCCCACCCAGAAAACACCAGAATCAAAGGCTTTGAAGCATAAATTGTCAACAACTCTTGAGACAGCCTCTCAAAGGACAATTGGGAAGAAACAGCCCAAAAAGGTAGATAAGAACACCGGCATTGATGACTTAACCTGGCCCAAACCAAATATTACCAGCAGCACTCCCAAAGGAAAAGAAAGCATGGCACTTCCGGACCCACCACGAGGCCGCAACAAAGCCACCAGCCACAAACCAGTCCCAAGGAAAGAACCAAGGCCTAACATCCCATTGACTGCCGACAAGAAGAAGTACAGAGGGCCTGGCAAGATGGTGCCCAAGTCCCGGGAATTCATTGAAACGGATTCTTCTACATCTGACTCCAACACAGATCAGGAAGAGACCCTGCAGATCAAAGTCCTGCCTCCTTGCATTGTCCCCGGGGGGAATGTTGCCAAATCCAAGGAGACCTGTGGTGCCAGCCTGACCCTCAGCACCTTCATCAATGGTGGCATCAACAACAGCAACTTAGCCGCCACCAATGAGGAGCCAAGTCTGTCACCCCTCCCTGTCCTGCACGCCGAGCTGCTGTCCCCTTTACGAGATCAGGAGAATCTGAAAAATCTCTGGGTGAAGATTGACCTTGACTTACTCTCTAGAGTGCCTGGCCACAACTCATTCCAAGCTGCGCCCGCCAAGCCGGACCACAAAGAAACTGCCTCGAAACCGAAGCGTCAGACTGCTGCCCCAGCTACAGAAAAACCCGCCCCTAAGGGAAAGCGTAAGCACAAGGTAAGCTGTCCTGAGAGGACTGCCAAGTGAGCGTGAGCAGTGCCTGTCTGCTGGCTACCTTGATCTTGAGTCTCACGTTCAAGGAGGCCAATGGCAGTGGGTTGTAAGCTTTGGTAAAGGCAACAATGTCCTCCACGGGGAATGCTCGATTTCACATGACCAAAGAGGAAGTGCTGGGAAAGCTCAAGGTTTGGCAACCAATGGTGGGAACATCCAGTAAGGGCCGTGAAGGATTATGATGTATGGGAAATAAGATTATGAAGAAAGCCCCTTTCCCCAGTGTCTTGGTTACCTGGTGCTGCTGTAACAGAAAAAGCACAAGTGGGGAACTTAAAAGAACAGACGTTTATTTTCTCACAGTTCGGGTCATTCTTTTTGATGACAACGGTTCAACTAATGGTAAAATTATACATTCAGAACCAGCCCGCACAAAGGGCCAAAGGCAAGCCTTGCACATGTCAATTTCCTTACATGTTGTTGGTTGTATAAGTAGTAGCCTTTCCTCACCCACGGTCCCCATGCTGCTTGGACAGGATGGATGCCTGTCCAATGTTAGTTGCAATGTTAGTTCCAAACTACTCATTTGTGGGGGCATGGTGGATGGGAGAAGTGTCTGAAAATTACAGATTCTCAGCTCTGGTAGCATAGTGCCTAAGGCA